GGGAGAAAGAGTAAAGTGTGAGGACTACAGATAAACAAAATACCACTGTGCAGGAACATAGTTCAATTATTGTGAAGAAGGGTGCTATCATCAGGACTGCAAAGGGAAAGAAAAGTTAATGATAAGATAAGAAGAAGCTAGAAAAAACAACCAGTATAATATTTGGTAAGCAGAAGATAGGAAAAGTGAAAAGAAAAAGTAAAGAAAAAATGACGATAAATAAAAAGATCAACAAATTAAAAAGAAAAAGGCAGGATTTCTTCATTGTTGAGGAGAGTGGATGTCTTCTGTGCTCTATCAGCACAATGGATGCTCCCCTCCAATCTCTGGTCCCCCAGTTTTTTGTCTGCAGTTCTCCTGTTGCGTTTACTCACATGCCCCTCAGGACCCTGGACTGACCAGGTGTAACCTTGAGGAAGGCTCTGGATCTGGGCAACTGCTGGGGTGAGGTGGGGCAAATCCTGGGGAGTAGTAGCAATTGCCAGACATTGAGTTGATCTGCTGGGGTGAGTTGGGGCAGTTCCAGATATGTGAGGGGTGGTGGAATCCCTGAGCACAGCTAGTGGGTCAGAAAGCTCTCTGCCACCCTTGAAGCTCATGCTTTTCCATGCTCAGGGAGTCTAGTGGCCGCTCTAGACTTTCCTGTTTAGACCTCCAGTTTAATGTTTCATTTGGAGACTGAAGGGTAAATAGCTCCTATCACTTGTGTATATGCATACACTGCTGTGTTGGGTTGTAGTTTAAGGGCTGTAGCCCATACACCTCCACACCTTTCCTTGTCTTAGGATAGAGACCTGGATGCTCAGCAACAGCCAACCAGACAGCTCACTTCCACACCCTTCCTTTGGGTAGAGACCCTCTTGCTGAGCTGCTTCATCCATTACCTGCTGGTGTGGGGTTTTTAATCAGTCATCTTAGCCAAAAGTTTTCTTGGGAGTCAAATGGGTAGGCTTGGCTGGGCAGGAGCCCTCAGAGATAACACTGGCTATTGCTTCACCACCACCCTAGCCAACCCAGGGCTATGAGTGGGGACATTTAGTCAGTCTGCTTAGACAATAGTTTTCTAGGGGTTCAGTTGTATTTGTGACTATGCACTGGTCTGGCCTGGATGAAGGCCTAGGGACTGAAACCAGTTTGCTCCACTGGCTCTTTTGCATGTTGTCTTTTTTGCCCTTAGTCTGTGGAGTACCAACACCAGTCAGCTTCTGTCTGGTGGCCTAGGCAAGGCTTGTAACCTGCTGTAACCTGCTGTTAGTCTTCTGTGCCTTGTTTGGTTCATAGGGTGGTGCATGTGTGTGCCTCTTGTTGGAAGCAAATCAAATAAGAAAAAAAAGGGAGGGGGCAGGGGGAAGGGTGGAGAAATGACCCAAACATTGTTTGCACATATGAATAAAAGGAAAAAAAAGACTGGATTGGGAAGGGCACAGGATGTCTCTGATCCATCCTGCAGCAGATATGTGCTTTTAGAGGTTTTGTTAAAGTTCAGGTTTTTTAAAATTTTCTTTAGCGGCTATCTAGCCTCATCCTGGCATCCTCTTTCAGCTTACTAACTTGTCCACCTCTCCTTGCAGCCATATACCTGAGATTTTATTTCTGGTTCATGAAAGCACAGAAAAGTGGTTCCTGCCAGCAATCTGCCATCATGGACTACACCATATTTTCTTTATCCATATATTGATTGATGGACACCGAGGCTGATTTCATAGCTTGGCTATTGTGAATAGTGCTGCAATAAACATAGGCATGCAGGTATCTGTACTGTATTCTGACTTACATTCCTTCAGATATACGCCCAAGAGTGCTATAGCAGGGTCATATGGTAGTTCTATTTTTTAAAATTTTATATTTTTAACTTAATTTTCTTTAAATTGGCCTTTGGAAATTTACCTGCAGAGTACTGACAAAAGCAGCTCTCTATAAGAAAATACCTCATGTGCACCACTTTCTAATCTTTATGGTGTAAATATTCACCTGGTGACTGTGGCACAAGTTTAGCATTTGACAAAAGCAAATTGTAATTATTTTGGGTAGGAGGATTAGAACAGAAATAGTGTTCTTGCCAGACACTAAGAAGGAAGCAGAGCTTCCTAATAAAGCCGTGGGTCTCATATAAAAAATCAGGAAGCTATATTCCCTTCTTGGCCCCATTCTGGAGAAGAATGGAGAAGCAAACAGGGTAAAAAGACAGTATTCATTTCTGTGTGTGCTGCATTATTTGCACAGGAGAGTTCTGCTTAGCATAACACTTCCTGTGCATTTTCAACTTGGAAGGCTGTCTCCTGCCCAGCAGAAGTACTCCTACTTCTACCACATTCATCACCTGTTATGTCTTGGTAAATTCTGGAAGGAAAGAGAGAGGGTTATGGTGGAAAATCCCATCCTGAAGACCTGGCCTGTCTAAGTGTAGGACTGGAGGTGGGAGCCTATAGGAAACCCAATTTGTCACCATTGGAGCCGAGACTTGTATACCACAGATGACACCCAAAACTGTGAAGATACCAGTAGGTTGGGATTCCTCTGGAGGTAGGCCATCAGTTTTGAGGCCTTTCTTTCAAGTTCCATCACAGCTAGAGGATCAGGACACAGTAGGTTAGTCACCATCACCACTTTGACCCCTGTTGCTTTTTTTTGGATGGACACAGGGGATGTCCCCAGGCAGAAAGGGTGGAGGACAGAAGTGTGAGCTAATGTGAAGACTGGGGTTGCTGCTGTGTTTTCTGGAATGGAGCCCCCTTGGCATTCTAGATTCAGGTTCTCTAGGCTCTCCCCATTAGCTGAGCCAACTTGGGGGTGCTCAGGAACTGGAGTCTTTAAAGACTGGATCATGTCTCCTTATAGTGAAGGAAAGACCGAGGGTTGTAATAGATTGGACACTCTGAGGACCAGAACCTAGCTTGAGCTCCCCAGTCTGTCCACAAAAGCCAAGCTGGAGGTCATTACAACCATCCCATCTCAGAGAGGAGTGGTTAACATTGAGTTATTCAGACTATTCAGATGCCAACTCATCTCTTAATAACATTTCATGTTGTATCTTGCATCCTGTTTTTATGCCAATCTTGCCTTTACGTTTGACAACCAATCAGTATTTAATTTGCATAATTTAATAGTACAAAGGGGTTTCACTGTGATATTTACATACATACATATAATGTACTTTGGTTGAATTCACTCTATATTACTCTTTCTTAACCCTTCTCTCTCCTCCTTCTCCTTTTTAACAAGTTTTAGTGGGTTTCATTATGCTATTTTCACACACACACACACACACACACACACACACACACACATGCACACACTCATGAACACATAATGTAACTTTTATCTTATCTCTTTTCCTCTCTGATCACTCTCTTTTCCCCTTCCTCCCTCCGGATGGTTCCCCTTCCCCAAACAGGTCCATTTTTGCAATCATGTCATATCATTATTTTTTAGGTTGAGATTCTGCACATAAGCAAAAACATTTGATATTTGCCTTCCTGAGTTGTGTATGTATCTGAATACATTAAGAGGATCTTTATTCAATGCTTATGAAACACTCAGGGTCATGTACTTTTTGAGGAAGATGTGTTGTGTCATGCTGTAGCAAGCCTTGGGCACATGTTTTCTCCAGATGGGGCCCAGAGTCTTAGAAGGATGTAATGGTGAAGTGACTTTCTGAGAGTATTGCAATGGCATTGCTGCATTCACTCCCTGAAGGAAAACCCATAATAGCCACCCTACGGTCCCTAAGTATGATCCTTATGTTTTATCTCTGAAGGAACCTATAAATTAATTTTTGGCAGTGCTGGGGTTTGAATGCAGGGCCTCACACTTGCTAGGCAGGTGCTCTACCATGTGAGCCACTCTACCAACCCTTTTGGAGGAGCTTATCAATGTGGATTCTATCAAACAATCCTCTTCTAAGTGGTTAGCACACTTCTAGTCCCTACCTCCTCACTGGCATATGGTTTTTAGGTATGATGGGAATATTAACCAGCATCCACTCAGGAGAATAGAAGATCTTTGAGGTAGTTAAGAGAGAGGAAATTAAATACAATAAATATAATTAAGTACCCTGAATCAGGTCCTGGCAGGGGAACTTTTGTGGGAAAATGGATGTAGTCCAAATCTAGACTACCATTTAGTTACTGTGTCAATGTTAATTTCTTGGTTTTAACAGATATACCTACATGGTTACATAAATGGAAAATTAGGGAAACAATGTTATTTGCTTATTTCCACATCTTAACTCTCACAAATAAAGTTGTCATGATCATGGAAGTGACATCTTTTAAATCTACTTATTTCACTTCCTTTGCATATATACCCAGCAACAGGATTGCTGGATTGTACAGCAGTTCTAATTTTAATTGTTTTGTTCTAGTTTTGCTGTTTTCCATATACTGCACCATTTTGCATTCCCACCAGTGGGGATCCAATTTTTCCACATCTGTGGCAGCACTTGTCTTTAAAATATGTATAGTAGAGTCTTCTTCTTCTTCTTCTTCTTCTTCTTCTTCTTCTTCTTCTTCTTCTTCTTCTTCTTCTTCTTCTTCTTCTTCTTCCTCTTCTTCCTTTTGGTGGTGGTTCTGAGGTTTGAACTCAGAGTCTTGTGCTTATTAGGCAAGTGCTCTATCACTTGAGCCATGCCTACAGTGTGATAATAGCATATTTTAATGTGTTAATATCTTATTGGAATTTAAACAATGATCATAACACTAAAAGCTTGGGGAGGAACTTAGGGTTCCCATTGCAAAAATCAGGAAATGTTAGATTTCAGTGTTGTAATGCTTGTCCCAGGCAGATGGTTGTCACTTTATGGAGTTGGGACTGGTGTCCAAGTCAGTTTGTTTCACAATCTTATTCTGCCTTCTCCTGCAGATTCACAGTGAGGTTAATAAACCAAGGAATGAGCTCAGCAGTTTCTGAGCATTTGGGCTGGAAACATTTTTCAGAAGCTGAAACTTCCCCTGACCTCCATCCCCTGTGTTAGCAGTGAAAAGAGTGGAAAGGAGTGGAGAGAAAGCCCTTCCTCTTTGTGTGACACAGATGATGTAGAAATCCCATGACAAACCCCAGTAAACACATTCTGTCCCTTGTGTCTGCAAGGCTTCAGCTCCAGGTGGGGGTAGGCTGCAGGAGTCTGGGCCATGTTCTCCCATCCTGGCACCCTGCTGGTCCTTGGTGAGTCCTGGAAGGAGGGGTGGGGGAGGACTGGAGGGACAGGGGAGGTGATTAGGGGAAGTGGTTTGGGGAAGGGGTCTTATTCCCTACTCAGGCTTGAGTCCAACCCAGGAAATCTGGGGCACTCAGAGAGGAAAGCCCCCCTTACCTCCCAACCAATCTCAGTCTGACCTGTGAGGAGTCAGAGCTAGAAACAGGGACCTGTTCAGCTTTAAGAGAGGCTGGAGGAGCAGAGAGCCTGTTCAGAAGGGGACACTGGGGATGTCTTGAAACAAGGAAGAGTATACTCAGAGGTTAAAGAGGAGGATGGTTTGGTAATCATGGGAGGCTAAATGCTCCCAGCTCCATTAAGACCCTCTTTCATTCTGCCCTGTATAGAACCCTGGGCAGTGGGCATTTTTCTCACTGGTGTTTCTCTTCCAGTACTCTGCCTGAGTTGGACAATACGTGGACAGGAAGGTGAGTCACCCCCCCCCCCCGACCCAGTGCGTCTGTGCCCATGGGCAGCTTAGATAGTGGTGATGTGCATCCTGGGAGGCCTGGAGGGGCACCCTTGAATATGCCTTCAGTTGTGAGCACCCCAAGTGTGCAGCTTTCATCCAGTTCCCTCTCCCAATGTCTATCTGTCTCCTTTTGCTTTCTTATTTTAAAAATGTTTTGAATCAACAAATAATAACTGTATATATTTATGGGATACAAGATGATGTTTTGATATATGTTTGCATTGTGGAATGATTAAATTAGACTAAATAATACATTCATCACCTCACAGATGCATTGTTTTGTGTGGTGAGAAAATTTAATATCTACCCTTATAGATACTATAGTACCAGGGTCTGAACTCTTAAGAAGTTATTCCTCCTGCCTAACTGCAAATTTGTACCCTTTGGGCAACTTCTTTTCCCCATCCTCCCTCTTCCCCCAGCCTCTAGTAGTCACCATTCTACCCTCAGCTCCTATGAGATCAGTGTTTTTACACTCCACATGTGAGTGAATTAATTTTTTTTTTGGTGGTACTAAGCTAGAACTCAGGGCCTTGAACCTGCCAGGCAAGTGGTTTACCACTTCAGCTATGCCCCAATCCTTTTTTTTTTTTAAATCATTTTTGAAGCAGGTTTCACTGCTTTGCATGCGCTGGCCTCTAACTTGTGATCTTCTTGCCTTCACCTCCCAAGTAGCTCAAATTACAGGCCTGCACCACCAAGCCTGGCCAGTATTTGTCTTCCTCTGTCTGCTTTATTTCTCTTTACATAATGTCCTCTAGGTTCATCCAGGTTGCCACAAATGTCAGAATTTCCTTTTTTAAAGGATAAGTAGTATTCAAATGTGAATATGCACCACATTTTCCTTATACATTCAGTCCTGGATGGACCATTAGGTTGATTCAATTTCCTGGCTACTGCAAAGTAAGCTGCAATGAACAAGGGGAAGTAGAAGTCTCCTTGCCATGCTGATGTCTGCAAAGATCATTCAAATCCCACATGAGTAAGGCTGAGTCAAGAGACTCCCCCCACAAGACCAGACCTCCCTTAGCATCTGCTTAGCAATCACAAAGTCAAAACCCAAAGATTCATGTTGCATCTCACTTCTCTATTGTCCTATGCACATTAGGTCACCAGGCCCTGTTGATTGCCCTACTCCCATCTCTTCTCAAGTCTTTCCCTCTTATCTCATGTACTTCTGTCCAGTCCTTTCCAAACTACACCACCTCTCTCCTCCATGCTGCTGCTACCTGCTCGAGGACTGCTGCCACCTGCACATGCCTGATATCGCCCACACCCTTATCAGCACAGGGGGAATGATGTTGGCATTGCAAATGCATAAATATATTCATTTAATTTCTACAAAGTTTGTGGAGAGATTGGGAATTGAACTCAGGGCCTTGTGCTTGCTAAGTAAGCTCTCTATCACTCAAACCATAACCCTCAGCCCCTTCGCTTATTTTATTTTGTTTTTCAGATAGGGTCTTGCACTTTTGCCTGGGCCAGCCTGGGACCTCGGTTCTCTACTTCTGCCTCCTGAGTAACTGGGATTATAGTCATGTACCACCATGCCTAGTCCTAATTTCCGTAATTTTAAAACTTTGTTCAAAACTTCTTGTGTGTATTTTTATTTTCAGATAAAGTATTCTTCCTCATGTCCTCTCACTGTTTATCTTCAGACAGAATCGGGCCTGTGCATCTCTCTTTGTTCTATTTTGCATCCTTTCCCTGACTACATCCTTCCCCCTTCCCTTCTGGCTCACTTATCTCTAGATTCTTCAACTCTCTTTCACTTCCTCAGATACTTTGGACCTTCCCACATGATGAATTTTAATTAACTTTTAAAAACTGACAATAAGAATTGTCTATGTTTGCCATGAACAACTTAAGTACTCATTGCAGCATGGATAAATGGAGCTAATTAGCACAGGATTTACCTCACCACTACTTTTTTTGTGTATGTGGTGAGAACACTTAGTATCATCTTGCTGGGTAATTTACAAGAAAATGATAGATTGTATCAACCGCAATCACCACATCCTACAAAGGATCTCTTGAATTTATTTCTCCTTCTAGCTGACATTTTGTATCCCTGACCAACATTGGTACTGCTTTATCAGCTTTGAATGCAATGTTTGTTTCTTGGTGTGGGGACTTTACACGCATCCCTCAGATGCCAGCTCAGGGAGGGCAGCTCTGCTTCCACCTGTCCCCTAGTTTACTGCACTCACCCCAAGAACATGCATCTCAGTCTGTAGCTGTGTCTATGAACTTGGACAGCTATTAAATAAACATCACTGCTTCCTCACAGACTTTAGCCTCAAAGGGCAGGGATTCTGTCTATGTTTCTGTATTTGCACATGGACAGTGTCTCTGAAGGACAAATAAGGAACTAAGATATGGTTGAGAGCATGAATGAAGGAGGAGAGGGGATGGGGAAGTGTTGGTCAAAGGAAACATTTCTTTTTTTTATTGTTTTATTATTCATATGTGCATACAAGGCTTGGGTCATTTCTTCCTCCTGCCCCCACCCCCCTCACTTACCACCCACACCACCCCCCCTCTCTCCTCCCCACCCCCTGAATACCCAGTAGAAACGATTTTGCCCTTGTCTCTAATTTTGTTGAGAGAGAATATAAGCAATAATAGGAAGGAACAAGTGTTTTTGCTGGTTAAGGCAAGGACAGCCAAACAGGGAGTTGACTCACATTAATTTCCAGTGCGTGTGTGTTACCTTCTAGGTTAATTCTTTTTGATCTAATCTTCTCTCTAGTTGCTGGTCCCCTTTTCCTATTGGCCTCAGTTGCTTTTAAGGTATCTGCTTTAGTTTCCCTGCGTTAAGGGCAACAAATGCTAACTAATTTTTTAGGTATCTTACCTATCCTCACCCCTCCCTTGTGTGCTCTCGCTTTTATCATGTGCTCAAAGTCCAATCCCTTTTGTTGTGTTTGCCCTTGATCTAATGTCCGTATGTGAGGGAGAACATACAATTTTTGGTCTTTTGGGCCAGGCTAACCTCACTCAGAATGATGTTCTCCAAATCCATCCATTTACCGGCGAATGATAACATTTTGTTCTTCTTCATGGCTGCATAAAATTCCATTGTGTATAGATACCACATTTTCTTAATCCATTCGTCAGTGGTGGGCATCTTGGCTGTTTCCATAACTTGGCTATTGTGAATAGTGCCGCAATAAACATGGGTGTGCAGGTGCCTCTGGAGTAACCTGTGTCACAGTCTTTTGGGTATATCCCCAAGAGTGGTATTGCTGGATCAAATGGTAGATCAATGTTTAGCTTTTTAAGTAGCCTCCAAATTTTTTTCCAGAGTGGTTGTACTAGTTTACATTCCCACCAACAGTGTAAGAGGGTTCCTTTTTCCCCCATCCTCGCCAACACCTGTTGTGGTGTTGCTAATGATGGCTATCGGGGTGAGGTGGAATCTTAGTGTGGTTTTAATTTGCATTTCCTTTATTGCTAGAGATGGTGAGCATTTTTTCATGTGTTTTTTGGCCATTTGAATTTCTTCTTTTGAGAAAGTTCTGTTTAGTTCACTTGCCCATTTCTTTATTGGTTCATTAGTTTTGGGAGAATTTAGTTTTTTAAGTTCCCTATATATTCTGGTTATCAGTCCTTTGTCTGATGTATAGCTGGCAAATATTTTCTCCCACTCTGTGGGTGTTCTCTTCAGTTTAGAGACCATTTCTTTTGATGAACAGAAGCTTTTTAGTTTTATGAGGTCCCATTTATCTATGCTATCTCTTAGTTGCTGTGCTGCTGGGGTTTCATTGAGAAAGTTCTTACCTATACCTACTAACTCCAGAGTATTTCCTACTCTTTCCTGTATCAACTTTAGAGTTTGGGGTCTGATATTAAGATCCTTGATCCATTTTGAGTTAATATTGGTATAGGGTGATATACATGGATCTAGTTTCAGTTTTTTGCAGATGGCTAACCAGTTTTCCCAACTTGTCAAAGACAAGTTGGTTATAGTTGTGTGGCTTCATATCTGGGTCCTCTATTCTGTTCCACTGGTCTTCATGTCTGTTTTTGTGCCAGTACCATGCTGTTTTTATTGTTATTGCTTTGTAATATAGTTTGAAGTCAGGTATTGTGATACCTCCAGCATTGTTCTTTTGACTGAGTATTGCCTTGGCTATTCGTGGCCTCTTGTGTTTCCATATAAATTTAACAGTAGATTTTTCAATCTCTTTAATGAATGTCATTGGAATTTTGATGGGAATTGCATTAAACATGTAGATTACTTTTGGGAGTATAGACATTTTTACTATGTTGATTCTACCAATCCATGAGCATGGGAGATCTCTCCACTTTCTATAGTCTTCCTCAATCTCTTTCTTCAGAAGTTTATAGTTTTCCTTGTAGACGTCATTCACATCTTTTGTTAGGTTTACACCTAGGTATTTGATTTTTTTTGTGGCTATTGTAAATGGAATTGTTTTCATACATTCTTTTTCAGTTTGCTCATTGTTAGTACATAGAAATGCTAATGATTTTTCTATGTTGATTTTATATCCTGCTACCTTGCTATAGCTATTCATGATGTCTAGAAGCTTCTGAGTAGAGTTTTTTGGGTCTTTAAGTTGTAGGATCATGTCGTCTGCAAATAGGGATATTTTGACAGTTTTTTTTTTTAACCTATTTGTATTCCTCTTATTCCTTCTTCTTGCCTAATTGCTCTGGCTAGGAATTCCAGTACTATGTTGAATAGTAGTGGAGATAGTGGGCGTCCTTGTCTGGTTCCTGATTTTAGAAGGAATGGTTTCAGTTTCTCACCATTAAGTATAATGCTGGCTGTAGGTTTGTCATATACAGCTTTTATAATGTTGAGGTACTTTCCTTCTATTCCTAGTTTTCTTAGAGCTTTTATCATGAAATGGTGTTGGATCTTATCAAAGGCTTTTTCTGCATCTATTGAGATGATCAAGTGGTTTTTGTTTTTGCTTCTGTTAATGTGGTTTATTACGTTTATTGATTTTCGTATGTTGAACCACCCCTGCATCCCTGGGATGAAGCCTACTTGGTCGTGGTGAATAATCTTTTTGATGTGTTGTTGAATTCAGTTTGCCATTATTTTGTTGAGGATTTTTGTGTCAATGTTCACTAAGGGGATTGGCCTATAGTTCTCCTTTTTGGAGGTGTCTTTGCCTGGTTTTGGGATAAGTGTAATACTGGCTTCATAAAATGTGTTAGGCAGTTTTCCTTCCCTTTCTATTTCATGGAACAGTTTAAGGAGGGTTGGTATCAGTTCTTCTTTAAAGGTCTGATAGAATTCAGCAGAGAATCCATCAGGTCCTGGACTTTTCTTTTTGGGGAGACTCTTGATTGCTGCTTCAATTTCATTTTGTGTTATAGATCTATTCAGGTGATTAATTTCCTCTTGGTTCAGTTTTGGATGATCATATGTATCTAGAAATCTGTCCATTTCTTTAAGATTTTCAAATTTATTTGAATATAGGTTCTCAAAGTAGTCTCTGATGATTTCCTGGACTTCCATGGTGTTTGTTGTTATCTCCCCTTTTGCATTCCTGATTCTACTAATTTGGGTTTTTCTCTCCTCATTTTAGTCAGGTTTGCCAGGGGTCTATCGATCTTGTTTATTTTTTCAAAGAACCAACTTTTTGTTTCATTAATTCTTTGTATGGTTTTTTTGGTTTCTATTTTGTTGATTTCAGCTCTTATTTTTATTATTTCTCTCCTATTTGTTTTGGGATTTGCTTGTTCTTGTTTTTCTAGGAGTTTGAGATGTATCATTAGGTCATTGATTTGGGATCTTTCAGTCTTTTTAATATATGCACTCATGGCTATAAACTTTCCTCTCAGGACTGCCTTAGGTGTGTCCCATAGGTTCCGGTAGGTTGTGTTTTCATTTTCATTGACTTCCAGGAACTTTTTAATTTCCTCTTTTATTTCATCAATGATCCATTGCTCATTAAGTAGTGAGTTATTTAGTTTCCAGCTGTTTGCATGTTTTTTGCCTTTACTTTTGTTGTTGAGTTCTACTTTTACTGCATTGTGATCAGATAGTATGCATGGTATAATTTCTATTTTCTTATATTTGCTGAGACTTGCTTTGTACCCTAAGATATGATCTATTTTGGAGAAGGCTCCATGTGCTGCTGAGACGAATGTATATTGTGTTGGATGAAATATTCTGTAGACATCAACTAGGTCCATTTGATCTATTGTATATTTTAGATCTTGGATATCTTTATTGATTTTTTTGTTTGGATGACCTATCTATTGATAATAATGGGGTGTTAAAGTCTCCCACAACCACTGTGTTGGTGTTTATATATGCTTTTAGGTCTTTCAGGGTGTTTTTGATGAAATTGGGTGCGTTGACATTGGGTGCATACAGATTGATGATTATTATTTCCTTTTGGTCTATTTCCCCTTTTATTAGTATGGAGTGTCCTTCTTTATCTCATTTGATCAATGTAGGTTTGAAGTCTACTTTGTCAGAGATAAGCATTGCTACTCCTGCCTGTTTTCGTTTTCCATTGGCTTGGTAAATCTTCTTCCAGCCTTTCATCCTAAGCCTATGCTTATTTCTGTCAGTGAGATGGGTCTCCTGGAAGCAACAAATTGTTGGATCTTCCTTTTTAATCCATTTCATCAAGCAGTTCCTTTTGATGGGTGAATTAAGTCCATTAACATTAAGTGTTAGTACTGATAGGTATGTGGTGATTCCTGTCATTTAGTTGTCTTAGTTGTTTGAAGGCTTGATTGTGTGTACCTAAGTTGAGGTTACTGTCTACTTTCTTGCTTTTTCTTTTCCTGTGGTTTGGTGCTGCCTGTCTTTTCATGGTTAAGTTGGGTTTCACTTTCTGTGTGCAGAATCCCTTGAAGAATCTTTTGTAGTGGTGGCTTTGTGGTCACATATTGTTTTAGTTTCTGCTTATCATGGAAGACTTTTATTGCTCCATCTATTTTGAATGATAGTTTTGCTGGGTAGAGTATCCTGGGGTTGAAGTTATTTTCATTCAGACCCTGGAAGATCTCACCCCACGCTCTTCTTGCTTTTAATGTTTCTGTTGAGAAGTCTGCTGTGATTTTGATGGGTTTACCTTTGTATGTTACTTGTTTTTTCTCTCTTACAGCCTTCAATATTCTTTCCCTAGTTTCTGAACTTGTTGTTTTAATGATGATATGTCATGGGGCAGTTCTATTTTGATCTGGTCTTTTTGGTGTCCTGGAGGCCTCTTGCATCTGTATGGGAATATCTTTCTCTAGATTTGGAAAATTTCTCATTATTATTTTGTTGAATATATTAAGCATTCCCTTCTCTTGCACCTCTTCTCCTTCTTTGATGCCCACGATTCTCAAGTTTGGCATTTTTATGGAGTCAGTGAGTTCTTGCATTTTCTTTTCACAGGTCTTGAGTTGTTTAATTAATAGTTCTTCAGTTTTTCCTTTAATTACCATTTCATCTTCAAGTTCTGAGATTCTGTCTTCTGTTTTTTCTATTCTGCTGGATTGGCCTTCCGTTTTGTTTTGCATTTCTGTTTCATTCTTTTTGCTGAGGTTTTCTATATCCTGGGTGGTTTCCTCTTTAATGTTGTCTATTTTTGTCCTGAGTTCATTTATCTCTTTATTAATCGTGTTCTCTGTTTCACTTTGGTGTTTATACAGTGCTTCTATGGTTTCCTTTATTTCTTCTTTTGCTTTTTCAAATTCTCTATTTTTGTTGTCTTGGAATTTCTTGAGTGTCTCCTGTACATTTTGGTTGACCATATCCAGTATCATCTCTATAAAATTCTCATTGAGTACCTGTAGTATGTGTTCTTTTAAATTATTCTTGTGGGCTTCATTGGGTTCTTTGGCATAGTTTATCTTCATTTTGTTGGAGTCTGGATCTGAGTATCTGTTTTCTTCATTTCCCTCTGGTTCCTGTACTAATTTTTTGCTGTGGGGAAACTGGTTTCCCTGTTTTTTCTGTCTTCCCGTCATTGTCCTTGGTGTTGTTACTGTCCCTGTACTGTGTGCAATTAAGTATTTTCTAGCTTGTAATAATAACGATGGTAATATTTAGAATGGAAGGGTGAGAGGAGATGGAAAGCAAGAAGTTAAAGAAAAGGGAAAAACAAACAGACAGGTAGGAAAAAACAAAACAAGGAATCAAACAAAGTTTCAAAGGTATAAACAGAGAGAGTTAGCGTACTAATCAACAGTAAGCTGAACAGGCCTTAGAGTGACAGAGAGAGGATTGAAAATAAAAAATTAAAAGAATAAAGATAAGAATAAAAATAAAAAATAAGCAAATGAAAGTAATATATATATATATATAAAATAAAACAAAATGAAAATAGAAAATAAAAAAACCCTCCAAATTCAAATGGAATGAAGTTTCAGTCTTAATAATTTTGGTGTCTGTCTCAGTCTCCAATCCTGGAGATGGTGCCTCAGATGTTGTTCTGTAGTTGTCTCATCAAAGGGGATGCATAAAGTAGAACAAAACTGCACAAAAAAAATAAAAATAAAAAACAAAACCCAAAAAAATCCACAAAGTGTCCCAAGTTCAAATGCAATACAGTTTCGGTAAGTCTTTCAGCATGCAGGTGTAGTTCAGTTGTTTTCTCATTAAAGGTAGGGAGAGAGAGAAGAAAAAAGAGTCTGGAGACAGTTCAGTGACTGGTATCTGCGTCTGTGGCTTGTCTGCCCACTGCTGTCAGCCTGCTGCTGCTGGAGGCATTATAAGACAGAAGGATTAAGTTCAGGAGACCAGTCTTGCAGCATAGTTAATGACAATGTACTGTAACCCTGGAAATTGCTAAAGAGAGCAAATTTGACTGTTCTCCCCACAGAAAAAAGAAGTATATGAGGCAATCCATATGTTAATAAGCTTGATTTAGCCATTCTAGAATGTACGTTTACATCAAAGCATCATGTAGTATACCATAAATATGCACAATTCAAATTTTTAGTTGATGTAAATGTACGTACTTGTGGGGTAACACTGTGACATTTCAGTTCATGTGTGTAATATGTACTGAACAAAATTGAGCAATTAGAATATCCACTACTGTAATTTTTATTTGTCAATTTAAAAAAATAAATGAATGATGCATAGGTGAGCAAATTGACCCTCTGTCAACTCCCTGCTGGTAGAGCGTTGTTGACCTTGACATGATCTTCGGTAACAGGGCTTCAAAACCATCTTTTCTCCAACCTCCAACAGATTGAGGCAAAGGGGCTTTAAAACATAAGCTGGACTCCAGTGTCCTACGCCTGTAATCCTAGCTACTTGGGAGGCAGAGATCAGGAGGATCGAGGTTCAAAGCCAGCCCAGGCAAATAGTTCATGAGACCCTATTTTGGAAATAACCAACACAAAATGGGGCTTGCAGAGTGGTTCAAGTAATAGTGTGCCTGTGTAGCAAGCATGAGGCCCTGAGTTCAAACCCCAGTACTGCCAAAACAAACAAACGAAAAACCATGTGAAGAAGGAAATGGAAAGAAGGCTGAGATGGAAGTAGAAAATATAGAGGAAATCTCAGAAGTGCTCAACACAGACCCCTGGAAATTGGGTGTGGTGGGGAGGGAGTGGGCTCTGCAGCAGGATGCCCAGTTCTGGGATGCTCTGAGACTTCCCAAGTGATGTTGAATCAGGATGAAGATGTGCCAAGCTCTGGGTCCTTATTGCCAGGTGGGGACAATATCTGTGTGATGAGAATTCAAATGCATACAGGGATGGAAATGATGCAAAGTCACATTGTGATCATGACTGTATCACTCTGCAAATTTGCTAAGAACATTGAATGTTATACCTAAATTAATTCTGTGGAGCAGTGATTTCCTCACAGTGGATGCTGACATCCCTGCTCTGATGTCTCCTAGAGAAACTGCCCCCACCCTTCATCTCTGCTGAGCCAGACCATGTGGTCTCCCAGGGGAAGTCTGTGACCATCCTGTGCCAGGCCCCTGCTGGTTTTGAGATTTTCCGCCTGGAGAAGGGAGGTGTCAAGATCAAGGATGAGAAGAACTCTCTGTCTTCTGTGACAGTGGCAAGATTCCCCATTGACTCAGCGAGTGAGGACACTGCTGGGCAGTACCACTGCATCTATCAGAAAGAGTCCATCTGGTCTTTGCGCAGTGAGATCCTGGAGCTCACAGTGACCAGTGAAGATGTAATGCTGGACCCTGCCCCAGTCTCAGCTCTGCCCTCAGGTTTGTCCCCAGGTCCCTGTCCCCAGCTGCCATCTCTGTCCCCAGTCTTCCCTGGCTTCTCATGACCCAGATTTTCCCTCTCCTTCTTCACACTTCTTCCCTCTGCCCTCACAACCCTGGAACCTGAACCCCAGGCCTCATTCATGGATGACCTGGACACAGCTCAGCATGAGGTGACATGGAGCTGGCCCTGCTGGCTGTGAGGAGACTGGGTTCCAGGGATGGTGGGGGGCTGACCCTTTCAAGGGAATGTGTATCTGCTGACTGGGATGGTGTGATAACCTGTCCTTTCCACAAAGCTAGAGTCTGTAGTGGCCCCAAGGATATGTCTCTTCTGGTGTGTCCCCTTCCATTGGCAGGTCACAAGGTTCAGGGATGAACAGGGCTGGTTGGTACTTTGTGGGGAGTTTCAGGATGAGACAGCCCATGCACTGCTTGTGGTCAAGCCTGAGACACAATGGAGTCAGGGATCAGGAGGAGGGTCCAGCTACCTCTATGTCCTCTCAGGAGTTACCCAGTGTTGGTTCTGGGAAGTCAAGCAGAAGGAGTGAGCAGTCCCCAGCAGGATGGACTCTGTGTGTGTGTGTGTGTGTGTGTGTGTGTGTGTGTGTGTGTGTGTCCCTCTGCCACACTGCCTGTTTTTGCTGTCCTAATTTTTCAGATGTCATGGGACACTGTCTGAGACAGAGAGCTAGAAGTGTCTTCTGGATAGATGCTGAAGGTGGGGAAGGCCCAGGCTGGATGGGTCATCCTCTAAACTGCCTGCCATATAACTCTCAATCCTCTACCTGCCCCTGTTTACAGACACCAGTGGATTCTTCAGGACCTCCCCGACAAAGCCCCGGCTCTCTGCAGGTAACTGACAGAGTCCTCAGCTAGAGGGGTTTACTAGGGGCTTTGTGCTGGGGTTGAGGCTCTGCCCCCTCTTCTACCCTGGGACCAAGCACAAGGAAGACCACAGTAAAGGACTGATATGGCCAGGCACTGGGGTACCACTGGTGGTCATAACTCCATGCCAGGCACTGTTAAAGCATTAGCAAATGGCAACCCTAAAGACATATGGCATTCTGACTCTCCAGAGCCTTCCCCTCTCCCCATTTTTTGGCTGTACTGGGTTTTGAACTCGGGGCCTTGCACTTGCTAGGCTAGTGCTCTAGCACATGGAGCATACCCCCAGTCTCTTTTGCTCTTTTGTCTTAATGGTTTTAGCCAGGACTGGCCTTGGATTGCAATCTTTCTACCTGTACCTCACCCATACAGATGTGTACCATCATGCCTGGTTTGTTTGTTGAGATGAGGTTTTGTTAACTTTTTGTCCTGGGTGTCCTCAAATTGCTGTTCTTCAGATCTCTACCTCCATGGTAGCTGTAGTGACTAGGATTACAACCATGTGTTTCTACACCCCGCTATCCCCATTTTTAACATGGAAAACAACTTTTTTTTTTTTTTGGTCAAAGACTCTGAAGGGCTGGGCTGAAGTGGTAAAGTGCCTGGCTTGAACAACTTCCTAGGAAGCATCAGGCCCTGAGTTCAAATTCCAGTACCACCTAAACAAAAAACAAAACAAAGGCTCTGAAGGGGTCAAAGCAGAACCAGCTCCTTGAGGCCACACCTCAGGTGTCAGGGCTCCTTCAGCTCTATGCTGCCACCTTGTGGGGCAAAACTCACTATTCATACTGCTCTGCTCCTGGAGACACTTGGTGCTCATCCTCCAACTCAGACACTAAGAGAGTCAAGGGGACTCTATGGCTATGCCTGACTAGGAAGGAGGACCCCTGAGAAGAAGGTGCCAGGGGAGGAAACATGGCCTGTGAAAGGTGACCAGTATGAAATCGTGGGGCCTCATGCAAACCTCTTGCACTTGGGTGGAGTGAGTTTGGCAATGCTTTGGGTGCAGCTTCCTGCACAGAGAAAGCAGTCTAATCTGCAAGGTCAAGAATGCATGTCATTAGTCACTCATGGCCCCGGAGTCCTCGAAACGGGGCCAGTGCTGCTGAGGCTCTGCCTTCTCATTTATATAACTTGCAGCATCGATAGCCATGTGTTATCAATGATACAGGATGTTTCAATCTTTGCATGACTCCACTGGGCAGCACCCACCTAGCGGAAGGAGCTGGGGTCCTGAGTAAGGAAGGTTGGAGGTGAGAAACCTACAGCTCCTAGGCTGTAGAGCCTGCTCTGTCCAGATCATCCAGATTCATCCTAACCAGGAGTGAAACAGACACCTTGGGCCAATAGTAACAATGGCACTGAGTGGTGGTGACATGGAACCATGAGCCTGGCTATGGTTCTGGGGCAGGGGGCTAGAGAGGGATGACCATTGAGGTTTGGCACTGATCAGATTCCAGATCTGCCAGGTGCTAGCATGTCCCTGTGCACAGAGAAGCATCAGCTCAGGACCCCAGTGGGTAAGGTGGGGGCTGATTCTTTTGTGGAAAGACAAGTGTGCATGGGAGAGATTTTACACAGTGTATTCATGGTAATCACCCAGCATATGTGTGCTATACTGTGGGTGACCAATGATGCATGATGCTGATAGCCCTGTTGTGACTTCCCTAGACTCACCTGGCCTTATGAACCAGCACCTTTATATTCTCATCGGAATCTCTGTGGTCATCCTTCTTTGTCTCCTCCTCCTTCTCTTTTGCCTCCATCGTCAGCATCAGATGAAACAGGGTAGGTCTTCAGGGAGGCTGGGGTGGCCTGGGTAGGGTGTTGGGCTGTTTGGAACAAAGTCCCTCTCCTAAACTCAGATCTCTAACTTTCCCCACCCAGGGACACCCAGTGGCAATGGCCAGGAGAAAAGGCCACAGGAAAGGTGAGGCACCAGAGTGACCCCTGCCCCTTGTCCAGTTCTGTGCTCCAGTTTCCCCTAATACTGACTTGTTCTTTCCCTTCAGGCTCAGCCAGACTGTTGGGCATCTAGAGAAGACACCAGGTAAAGGGGAGATGAGAGGAACAGGTATGGAGCAGGAAAGTGTGGACCCTGTTCATCAGGAGATTAAGGGCAGAAGGAGAATGACTGTGAACATTCTAGGGGGTTCTAGCTGGTGTGGATGTGAGTTGATCACATTGCCTGCTCATGTCCATCCTTGAGAAATGACCATGTGTTTTCTCTTTTGCAGATATGTCTACAGCTGAAAGACTTCCTGAGATGGACACAGAGAAGGAGGACTTGGTAGGTCATTGCTCATTTATCACAATGTAACAAAGTATCCTAATTTACCAGTTTAACAACATTGCTTCAGTGGCTTGTGTCAGGAATCTGGGAGCAGCTCAGTTGGGTGGTTTGGTCCAGGATTTCTCATCAGGTTGCCGTAAAGCTTAGGCTAAGGCTGCAGTCGTGTGCAGGTGATGGGCTGGAGGGTCAACATCCAAGATGGTGCACTCCCATCACTGAGGAAAGAAGCCTCCTCTCTACAGTAGCCTACTTTTCTCAGAGTGAGGTCTGAGAAAGGAAAGTACAGAAGCCACACTGACTTCTGTGGCCTCCTCCTGGAAGTGTCATGTCTTCACTTCAGACATGTTCTATAGATCATAGAGATCAACCCTATACCATGTGGCACAGGACTGCAGGCTGACATAATTCCAGGAGACAGAGCCCTCCTAGGTGGCTACTACTGGCCTCCAGCCCCATAGCCTGTCCCCTCACCCTGTCATCCTAACTCACCCTGGATCTCTGTCCTTCAGATTCCTGCTGCAGGAAGTCCCCAGGAGGTGACATATGCTCAGCTGGACCCCCTAGCTCTCAGGGCACAGAGAGCAGAGAAACTTGTGCCCTCACACTACACAGAGCCCTTGACTGAGTCCGCCACATATGCAACCATTGCCAGACCCTGACCCTGGCCCCACCTGGCTCCTGCACCTGAGGACACAGAAAGCCATTCTTGGAAGATGGTGAAGCAGCCATCAGGAGGGGTTCTTTTTACACTCGTCCTGATCTGGAATCCAGCTCTGCTGGAGATGAGTGGTGGAGCCTGGAGGGCTCTACTCAACATCTAGGAGAAATAACAAGGTGTCTCTTCCACAACTGACCAGCCTTTGGAGAGACTGTGTTGCAGCTGCTTCTAGAATCCAAGCAACATCATCCTGGATGTCTCCAAAGACTCAGCTAGAGCACCCTGGCTGTCCTCCGAGACCCAACTGCAACCCCCTGGCTGTTTCTGGAGATCCAGTTGCAGCACCCTGGCTGTTTCCTCAGTTGCCCAGGTTTTTTCATGGCTAGTTTTTCAGTTGCCCAGCTTCCCCCAGATGTCTCCTGGGAAGCCCACCTGTCCCCAAGACTCCATATTTATGATCTGCTCAGTGGACTCAAAATCCTCCCCAGACCATAGCATTGACCCCAAGCCTGAGCTGTACCCATACAGCTTGGAGCTGAACCCATTCTGTCCATCAGACATCTCTTGGTGCATCAGTGGACACTTTAACACAATGAACACCCACACCCCTGTGCTGGTTCTGGATGCACAGGCACGTGCACTCCATATCTGCCTTCATAACTTTTCTGAGCTTAGTGGGGAAATGTGTCCATACATCCTTTGTTCTTTAAAACATTTCTAATTGACCAAGACTGCATGCATTCAAGGGCTGCACCTTGAGGACTTGAATGTGCATATGCTGTGTGGCCATAATTACAACCAAATGTGCTGCACATCTGCCACCTGCCACAAGGTACATTAGACTCCCTGACCCTGTACAGTGTCTGATGAGTGAAGCCTGGTCCCCCATACAGTGTGTGGATCTGGGAGGGAGGAGAGAAAGGTGATATAAGGCTTAGTGAGGGCAGAGTGGTTCCTCCTACCCACAACTATACGTGCACACACACACACACCACATGGTGCACATAGAGCAGAAGCCCTAGCCCTGTGTGTGTTGGGAAGTATCAGTTTCTCTGCCCCTCTGTCCAGGCCAGATTCTCTCCTCAGATTGAAACAGAAAAGTTATCCTGAGGACCACAAGGAGGCGAGAATATACCATACTAATTGTGTGCAGTCTTCAAAACAATCACCACAAAAAACCCCAACAACACCAGAGAGAAAAAATTTTTTTTGAGTATTCATGACTTTAAAAATGAGCAAGCAAACAAACAAGCAAAAAAGGATGTTCAGAGAAAGGTGTGACCCTGGCAGAATTGATGATGTAAACATATACATATCTGCATGTATCTATACCTGTATATGTTTCAAGGTATCATGTAATGTTTCCTTTAAAACATATGTATATATAATATAAATATATAGAAATATATAGTATATAAATTCCTTTAAAACATAATGTATAGATAGTATTATTTAACAATTGAAGAAAGGAGCATAAAAACAAGTGAAATAACAGAAAATAAACCTTGCTGGGGATGTAGCTCAGTGTAGTTGAGTGTCTGCTTAGCATGCATGAGATCTGGTTTCTATTCCCAATAATACAAAAGAATGCCTGTTATAGGGATTTATGTATGAAAAAAATTTAAATATTAAAAAAAACCCTCATTGAGCTCTCACCATGCCATGATGGCCTTGCCAGTGCTCTGAAAATGCCAGCACACTCAATCCTACCCAGCCCTTCACTGGACTCTGTCCTGGGGGACTAGGGAGGAGCAGGTCTCCAGGGTGGCAGCTCTGAGGTCATGGGCTGCACCCTGGTGCCTGGCTGCCAGTCCTGAGCAGGCAAAGGCTGTGCTTGTACTGGGGGCCTTTGTCCTGGCTCAGAGGTATGACCTGGGCTCTACTGAGTTTAATTTGTCCCGGGCTTTAATTTTCTACTGGTCCTAGTGTTTAGTTTCTCCAGTGATCTGCATCCAGCTCTATAGTTTTGCGTTTGCTTTCTTCTGTGACATCAAGAATGAGATTCCCTCTCTCATGGGGCCCACCTTCTCTCTGTCTCTCTATCTCTGTCACTATCTGTCTCTGTCTTTCTATGTCACTGTCTCTCTCTGTTTCTATCTCTGGATTATTAATCAAGTTGAGCCATGTGTTTCCCCTACAGTCATGCTGGCACAAACGTAGATAGGTGGCAAAGTGACTCTTAGCAGAGGTGGACAGTGGGCATCTGCAGAGAAAGGACCTGAAGATTTCCTGCCCCTTCCAGAGCACAGGTGCTGCCCAGGCCTTCATCTGCTCCAGTATAGGTAGGGCAGATAGTGAGGCCTCAGGACAAAAATTACATACAAACTTCCTCCCCACCCCCACTGCCACCAATTTTCCTTATTGACAGGCAGGTGGGAGGAGGAGGGTGCAGGGAGAGGAACCAAAATACAGACAAGCCACTGAGGCTCCTCCCTGGTTCAGAAGACCATCTTGGTGCCTGTGGTTAGAGCGCCACCTGCAGGAGGTGCTGTGCTAGTGCAATGGTGCTGCACTGGATCCAGCAGAGAGGGCAGGGCTACCATGTTCCTGGAGCCCCACCTCCAGTTCCTGTATGTTTGTAAGAGGAGGATCACCAAGGAGCTGCACTGGGTAGTCACAGGAGACATCCCACCTGACCAGACAGCAGGAGCACATCTGTGAGTACACAGATGTGCAGAACTCCTGATACTAAGGGGGACATTCAGTCAAGAACTATCCCCAGGCCTGAGGGAGCAGAGATAGGAGGGAATCAGACTATGAAGCACAGACCCAACCAAGACCCCCTACCATCTGGTGAGCACCCTGAAACCACATTCAACCTATATCCAAGAACCAGTGGGAGAGAGCAGAGGAGACTTCCTTGTACAGAAATAAGGAGGAAATGATGGATGAGTCCAAATTGTCAGGAGAGGGACAGCAAGACCATACTGCCCTGGTCACAGAGCCCCAGTTCCATCCCCAAAATGGGACCCAGACAAGAATCAGCCACCACCCCAGTGCTATCTGGGTGTTTGCAAACTGGGAAGTCCAAGAAGCACCTCCCATCAGTGTTTGTACAATTGTTCCTCTGCAGTTGTGTCTATAGTCATAGAAGACCTCAGGTAAGAATGGGGATTCTTGAGAGCCACAGCCTAGGTCTTGGGATGCATGAGTAAAGAACAGTTGGCTGAGGTTCTTCTTTTCTTCCTGGATAGAAATTACTGGTAGTCAAGGAGGAACTCCTACTTATTCTGGGCCCTTGGCTGGGTATTTGCAATCCTTAGCCAGCAGCAGTGGCAGATGACAGGTGACTTGATCTCTTTTTATTGTTTTCTTTTTTATTAGCATATATTCATTGTACAGGAGGGATTCACTGTGATAATTTTGAATAGTCTTACATTGTACATTAGTTAGATGGTCCCCACCATCCCTCCTCCCATCCTCCCCCTGCCTCATTTAAAGCAATTGCAAGATGTTTCATCTTTCTACTTCATATATGTACATGAAGCTCATCAATCATATTCCCTCACCTTCATCTATTCCTTTCACCTTCCTCTCTCTCTCAAGTACCCCCCCCATTACACACACTGTACCTATTTTACAGTTCTGTCTTTCATTTTTAATTCCAAAATTGCTTGCTTTTTTGACAGCACCAGCCTCAGAGGTCAGGATAGTGATCCGTCAGCACTAGCCTTAGGATTGGAACCTGAAATGGCTTACAGCACCAGCCTGAAGTCACAACATAGAGCAGTTGAAGTCCAGGCCTAGGGGCCTGGTCCTGTGGCAGGAAGTCACTCGCCACCTTTGTCCTCATCAGTCAACATCAGTTTCAGTTTCACCACTGTGACCCCACAATCAGGTGATGTCAGTTTCACTCTTGATGCCACTGTTGCCTTCTCTTCTTCTCTCTGTCACGTTCCAACTCAGCTGTTCTACTAATAATGAGAATCAAAAGTAGCCAAGGAAGACCTTTGGAGAGAAGTCTTTGCTGGACCTGCTATTACAACACCAGGAGGCAGGCAGGAAGGTGTCTCCCAGCTGCTCAGTAGAGTTCACTGAGGTGTGTGATGGCAAGAATCCTGTGAAGCTGCTGGCTGGGACAGCATCTTCAGGAGCAAGTTGTGCTTTCACAGAAAACCATGGTTGTTGTGCAGCTTCCTTAAGGTGTCCACGGAGTATTCAAAGCAACAGTCTGGCTGGCTGCTTGACTGGATGTCCTTCACTCAAGACAGTCCAGACCCTGGGGAGGGGTCTAAGAACTGTAAATGAAAGAGTTAAATCTTCCTAATATCCACTATCTCAGCACATTTCAAGGGAAAAAACATAAAAATGGTGCTTATATTAAAGGCTCATTGTTGACATTAACAGTACTTTCACCATATTTAACAGCACTCTAACAATAGCTAAAATTCTAACACAGTGCCCCAGGGAGAGGTGGGATCTACCATCTGTGTAAAGGAGTGGACAAGAATCAGGGCCCCATCAGTGACATTGGTTCACCTCTCCTGGTTCGCACTGAGAATGCAAACCTTCTCTATGTACCAAAAACTCTTTGTGCCTTGTAGATGTTGTAATACTAAGTCACAAGGAAAATTTGTAGTTCTCACTTTGCACGTGGAGGACCTATGGTTATTATGCTATTATGACCTGAGAAGAAGGCTGTTAGGACCAGAGTCTGAGTCAATAGGCTTTCCAACCCCTGTGCTACTCTGTGACTGTTATTATATATCTCCCAGCCATTCATCTATCCCTTCACCAATCTGTCCATCCACCCATCAAACCATCCATCTACTCATGCATCTATTCATACATCCATCCACCATCCATCCACCCACCCATCTACTCACCCATCCATCCAGTCTCCCACCCATGCATGCATGTGTACACCCATTCTTCCATCCATTCATCCATCCATCCACCCATGCATGAATCCATATTAGGAGTAATGAATCATCAGTCAATTATGTATCTATTTATTTATCTATGGCTAGTTAACAATATATGGGTTTAATTTGGACATGGATTCTGTCTACTTATGAAATGCCTCACTATAAACTGCTTCTGGAAACCAAGGACTTCCTGTGGCTCACTTGGGGTAAGTTAGAATGGGGCCTTGAGCTCAACACTTCTGTCCTTGTGACCTGGTCCTGTGAGCTCACCCTACACAGTTCCTGACTACAGGACCTATTCGCCTAACCACAGGACAAGCACAGAGCAGGTTCAAGACACTAAGCCATATCCCCCCATCCCATCTCCCTCCTAGGCATGGGTGAGTATGAAAATTAAGGGGGATTCCAGGGACACAGAAGGCAGAAGACATCAATATCATGGGAGAGGCATCCAAATCACATTTCTACTTCAGGACTGCTGAAACTCTGGGGAGGAGGAGTCACCTCTTAGTCAACTGCCTGCTCAGTGTCATTTATATCTGAGCAATGATGGATGGACCTGAAGCCTTGCTAGTCAGACTTTTTGTTGCTGTGACAGAGCCTGAGAGAAATGAGTTAAGGAGGAAAGATTTATTTTGGTTTATGGGTTCAGAAGTTTTAGTTGGCTCCATTACTTTGACCATGAGGGAAGGCAGAATCATCATGGTGAGGAGTTGATGGCAGGGAGAGAGAGAGGGAGAAAGAGGAAGAGAGAGAGAGAGAGAGAGAGAGAGAGAGAGAGAGAGAGAGAGAGAGAGAGAGATGCCCAATTTGTGGCATCCAGGAAGCAGAGAGAGAAAAAGAGAAAAAGGAAGGGGAATTTATGAGACAGATTATACATATTTTTAGGGCATAACCCTCTCCTCCCCTGGACCCACTTCCTAAACTATGCCCCAACTCCTAATAATGCCATCATATTAGGAATCCCTCAAGGATTAATGCAGTGATTAGGTCAGAGCCCTGGTGAATAACCACTTAATGATTGGCCCCATTGGCTGAGGCCAAGCCTTCAACACGTGAGCACTCCATATCTAAACCATAACAGGCTTCTAGTGTGTCAGAAGTTGAGGAGTGGAGAGTGTCCAATAGGAAAGACTAATTCAGAGGTTACCTGGGCTTCTTCTAGTCTTGGCTATAGAGGAAGGAAACTCTTACTGGGAAGTAACATTTATTAGGGTACTTGGAGATTATAAGCAGCTCAATCACCTACCTCTCCCATGCATCAAACTGACCCTTGACCCCAGTTGAGTGACCTCTTATGGTGGGCATTTTTCTTACTGGGGATTCTTTTCCAGTGCTCTGATTGGGCCAGAAGGTCCACACGAAGGAGGGTGAGTCTGGCGTACAATATTCCTAATCCTCTCCACCCTAAGGGCCACTCTGGATGGAAGTTTTATTGATTCAGGGAGTGATCTTAATCCCAGCTTAAGCCATGTAAACATCATCTATCTGTTTTCTATCAATCACTCCAAACACCTGAAACATGCCAATGATGGCTGCTGTAGCTCCAGGCATCACATCTTTTTGCACCCTAGAAGGGAGGGAAAGGCTCTCTTTGCCTGACTGCCACTCTGTAAGTTTTCTTTCTGGGAATCTCACAAGCAAGGCTCCATCTCATGGGCACAGAGGGCACACCTGGTTGCACAGAATAGATCCGAGGTTCCTAAGAATCTTTTGTCTCATGAAGCACAGCCAAAGAAGACTCTGATTGCAGTGGGGAGTGGAGTGGAGATGTGGTGGAGGTTGGG